CACGGGCGCCACGCTTGGACTCCATATTGCAGACGCAAATGAATGAACGCTCCGTAAACGTTTCCAAATAGCTCTTTGCCTATGTCTATGAAAGTTCGTTTCATTGCAAATAGAACACCGGTTGCCCTTTTGAGCGCCCTAAAGCCTGAGAGGAAGGCTTAAGGGTCGACAAAATGTTGATCCCAAGACCTTTATGCTAGGTCACATTTGAAAGGCACCTTCCACCAAGCAGGTAATGGTGATCCTCTCTATCGGCTCTTCCATTCATTTTGACTCGCATCGCGACGTACTTCCCAAGGTTAAACTTTAGCAGCCATTTGTCAAACCATTTGCATAGGCGGTTCCGTCCTTCCTGCAGGGCCCGTTCATCATTTTCCCCGTTGATCGCTCGCCATAACCTGATGTCATCGGCAAACATCACTCCATTGCAGTCCAGTCCATTCATACAGTCGTTGACATAAAGTAAAATCAGTACTGGTCCGAGTACAGAGCCCTGGGGAACTCCAATCACAACTGGCACGGGCGTTGACTTCGCACTACCAATACACACAGGTTGTGATCGACCAGTCAGAAAGTCCTTTACCCAGTTTAATAGGTTTCCCCTTATCCCTGACTCTCGGACCTTGTAAAGTAACCGGTGATGTGGAACACTATCAAAGGCTTTCTCGAAATCAATGTAAACGATATCGACCTTTGTTCCTGCATCTAACGAGCGAGACCACTGTTCCGTTGAATAAAGCATATTAGTTAGGCAGGAGTGATTTCGTCGAAAGCCATGTTGGGAACTTGCAATGAAATTATTTTCTTCAAGGAACTTCATTATGGCTTTTTTCACTATTCTCTCCATGACTTTGCAACAAATGCACGTTAGGCTCACCGACCGATAATTGTTTGCACATGTTCTAGATCCGCCCGTGTGAATGGGTTATATGTTCACCACTCTCCAAACAGAGGGGAGAATGCCTCGATCAAGGGACGACTGGAAAATATGCAAAAGCGGTCTGACGCGTTCGCAAGCCAACTCCCTCAGAATTTTTGCCGGTATTTAGTTTGGACCCGAAGGCATACCCTCCTTAAGCGCTAGAAGTTCCTTCTTCATATCTTCTTCGTGAAATCGAGGTTTTCTATTATTTCGCCGGTTGTTCCGGTAGGCAATCCAGCCTCGCCAAAGTCCGTTTCATCAGTGAAAACAGATACGATTAGAGGTTTGTCTTCTCGGAGTTATCAGACAACTTATTTCCCTAGCCACCCTTCAGATAAGGAAAGGAGTCCCGGTTACGTTTTGTCCTAGTGACATTCGAAAGAGCGCGAACCTAGAAGAATTTAAAATACAAACCAAAAATTTCCTGCAGACTGTAAAAGGTCTCCGTTTTGTACAAAATAGGTCAATGAAAGCGATTATGCGAATCTCGGGTTCTTGTTGTAAAGAAGATGAGCACACGATCTCTGTCTCTCTCTGTCAATTTTCAAGTAAGTTCCTTAAAGCAGAATTTGGACTGGAGGGGATCTTATGACACCATTTACCGGAACAGTATCAAGTTATAGACCTAAAAAAACACTTAAATGCAAGATGAAAGGAATAAAAGCTTTAACAAAATATGACTAGAGTTAGTCGTCCTCTAGTTCCCATTTCAATAAACTGATCTATTTGTCACCAAAAACTTGCATCAGCATATGCTAATATACCTTCAGTTAGTCATCTTCGGAAGGTCCATTGTTCGCTAGTTGAACAAAAGCTCGGTCTCTCACCATATCTGCTTGCCACAATGCTACGATAATAAGCAGAGGCCAAATTCGACTACACTCAATCGACTCTACCTTTGGCCGACATAACCATGATCTAAAGGCCATATCGGATAGATTATTCTTGACCGCAATATTGTACAATAATAAACATATATTCCTGTATAGTACGACTCATTTCTTTGCCAACATCGATATTTAGTTAGTCAGTCAGCCAGTCAGTTTAGTTGAGGGAAATAGGCTTACGTCTTGGAACTCCCTATTTGTACATAAAAGCCGATAAAATAAGCAAAAATGCGAAGAAATTACAGCATTAGGTGAATATAGACATTGATTTACATAGGTCACTGGTCTCATGGCTACAAAGTCACCTACTGCGCTTGTTGCTACAGCATATGTCTGTTAAACCGACATTTTAGTGTCTTCACATATTGAGACATAACAATCGTCTCGGGCAGGCTATTCCACGGTTCCACGACATGGATGGAGAAGAAATACTTTCTCCCATTCACTCTACCTTGGAACACACGTAGCTTGAAGCGATGTCCCCAGATGTTAGTTGTAGTGGCGATTTGAAAAAAGTCGTCCCACCGAAGGGTGCAGTGCAAGCCACGCACGATACGGAAAGTTTGTATCAAGTCTCCGCGCAACTGCCTATAACTCAGAGGATAGAGATTAAGGTTAGTTAAGCGGATCTCGTTTGATAGTGTACTTCGACCTCTTATTAATTTTGTTGCTCGCCTCTGCACCCTTTCGAGCAGATTTTAATCCTGTTGCGTCCACGGTCTCCAGGCCTGAATTGCATATTCGAGATGCGGCCTTACAAACGTGCCGAAGACTTTCGAGAAGAAGTTTTCGTCAGAAACTGCTAATGAAAGCTTGATGGCATATAGCATTGAAGTTGCGGCCTTGACCTTCTTACAACATTGTGTAGAAGGCTTTAGGCTATCTGCAACCCAGACTCCGAGATCTTTCTGCGTTTTTGCTTCTCGGAGTGGCATTCCGTTCAGATGGTATTGCCGCGTATTAAGGGCATGATTTCCGAGTCGCAGTATGGTACATTTGTTCAAATTGAAGGACAAGAGCCATCTGTGGGGCCACTCGTCGAATTGACAAAGATTTTCTTGGAAGTTGGTCTCATCGGCAGCATTCTGGATAACTTGCCAGACTTGTATGTCATCCGCAAACTAGGCACTATCAGAGTTCAACCCATCTACATAATCATTGATGAACAAGAGAAAAAGGGTCGGTCCGGGCACTGAGCCTTGTGGGACTCCACCCTCCATGAATGTGCGCCTCGACTACTGTGGCTCCACGCAGGCAATTTGAGAACGGCCGACTAGGGAATTCTCGACCCATTTGAGAAGTTCGCCGCCGATGTCCATTACTGCCAACTTGTGCAGGAGACGCTGGTGCGGAACACTGTCAAACGCCTTCCGGAAATCAATATCGGTCGCATGCACAGTGTGTTTTGCGTCCAGTGCTCTTGTCTAACTTTGCATTGTATATAGCAAGCTCGTTGCACATGATGTTTCCCTACGAAAGCCGTATTGTGCATTGGACAAGAGTTTGTTTGTTTCCAAATAAGTCATCAACTCCTTTTTGATGGTTTTCTTCATCACTTTGCAGCAGATTGATGTCAGGCTGACGGGTCTGTAGTTCGTCGCAAAAGCACGACTACCGCTTTTTTAAACGGGTGTAATGTGGGCCGTCTTCCAGTCTGTGGGAAGGACTCCAGCATCAAACGATTTCTTGCACAGAAAGGATAATGTCTAGCCAGTTGCCGGACAAACTCGAAGAGCAGTTTTTCTTGGATGTCCTCCCGGCCGGGAGATCTATATTTCTTCAAGCTTTTTAGTTCTTCCAGAACCGCTTCTTCAAAAGCCTAGATCGAATAAAGTCTGCTTCTTTTCAGAAAACAGATTAGAAAAACTGAGAAAAATGCTCAGCCTTATTTGTACTGTCCGATAGCACCAAACCGTCATCATTCCTCATTACAGGAATGGGATTCCTGTTACGGGTGGACAAAAAGCAATTTCGGATTTTTAACGGTTCTGTGAAGCAAATTACTCTCGAAATCCCGTCGCCTCTTGAAAATCAAGCCCTTTACCTTATTACTTTGAGCTTTATACTCTGTAAACGCTGTATGGTTGTTGTTCCCGCAAAGCTTTTCCACAGATTTCCCTTCTTGTTGATCTCCCTTTTGAGATCTAGCTTTAGCCACTGAGGTCGGTTGGATGTCCTAAGCTTTGACAAGGGACAGTGGCTCTTCATTTAATGCAGCAACCGATCCTTGAACAAATTTTAATCCTCGTTAACGTTTCCGGAGAAGAGAAAATCCTAGTCTATTTGTGATGCCTCAGCTCTCATTTGACAAAAGTCCCCTTTTTATATATTTGGCCTCGTATCGTCTTTTGTATACGGTTCAGAATACAGCTCGTAATACCATAAAAGTTGTGATCATTTCGACTGAGCGGAGGTACGCAGTACACCTCGTCTATGCTGCCAGGATCTTTGGTGAACACGAGGTCCAAACAACTAGCATGTTGCCCCCCACGCGCTCTAGTTGTAAACAGGACATGTTGTGTGAGACGAACTTCTAGGGCTGTCCTTAGAAGACGGTAATCGAAGGCATACTCCGTGCACTTCGCATGCATATTTATCCATTGAACGTAGGGTGAATTAAAATCCCCCATGAGAACAACGTCTGGTCGACTGCCAATATATTTTAGTCTTTCAAGTAGACAATTATCTGGGTCGGGATCCGCCTGCGGGGCCTGTAGATAGTTACGGCTTCAAGAACTGAGACCCCCGTCTCTTTATAGTCAACCAAATTGCCTCTGTGTCTTCGGAAATCTGGTCGGTCTATGGTGACAAATTGCTTTACTTAGGACATACTCTGAATTCGCGCACTACTGGCCAAGCAGAAGCCCAAAACAAATGAAGCCAAAGTGCAAACGGAACTGATGAACTTATTTTGAGCTTTCTTCCGTTTCCTAAGGAGCCTGTCGATGCCTAAGATGTGTTATGACTAACCTATTGCATTATATTCCTGAGTGGGTTCTGAAGATTTTTATGTACTTGCTGCGTGTTCCATCCTCCGAGGTTATGATATATCTCCACTAATTGAAACAGATAAGGAGCTTACCGCGACGTGAGCGAGTGCTTGAAAGTGAGATTGTGGAGAAGGTCTCTCGACTTTTAACGCTATGAAGTTCAGGCGGGAAAGACAGTAAATATCTACCACACGAATTGTCATGCTGAAGTACACTGATTCTTTCGCTGATGTTTTGGCTTGTCATTTGCTTATTTCCACGACAAAGTGTGATATCTACCAAGTCACTTGATCAGGCCCCTTATGCGGCATTGCATACGACGACTGCATCGAATGAATCGAACTAACGTTCGAGTTGTTTGACAGCTAAGTATTAAGACACTGTGTTTCGCATAATTTTCCGCTTTTTGAACTCTCCAGCCGCCCTCGGACCGTTGACTACAGTGTACTTCTCAGAGCTTTCTTTTACTCCTCTAGTCAACTTACAGAGCGTAAATTTACGCACTACGGCCATATTTAGCTAAAATTACTACTTTTTTCGGGCTATACTGGGTGCACAGAGGGCCTATTTAGAGAGGCCACCAACCTACCTGTCGCATGAGTTTCTTAAAGATCTGGCGTTTTGTGTCTCATACTTCGTAGGCGAACGTTAGTACATCTTATCGTAATTTTCGACTTCAGTCTTAAAACTGTTGTAATGTGACAGTCATTGTCGACCCATGTATCTGCGAAACCCCAGAACGATCGTCTTTGCCGCTCTAAAGCGAAAACGGGACTTAAAATACCACTGTTCAAATTTAATGAATTTAGTCTTGCATCGTTTGCGGGAGCATGACTTGTGACACGCAAGGGATGAAGTGAGCGGGTGTCTAGCCTCTGTACCAACGTTCACTCCCAATCGTATTGACCTAGTCTTAACATTAGCATGCGATTGATGTCGAGGGAGAGTGTGCTTTTGATGATGCCCAAGACTTCCTCCTTAGCATTGAAGCTCACTCAAGTAACCATTCCTCCCCCCAACCAGTGGTCTTCCCTATCGATCTCAACGACAAACCACTGTATCAGCTGACGCTGACTGTTTTTCGTCATGCCTCAGCGGATCTGGTGGCCGAAATGCCCTCATTACTCGGATATATTTGATAATACCTTCTTTCTAAGGACTAAGTTCCAAGGTTTATTGCACTTTTGGGCACACACAGCAGGTCGCCCACGTCATGCATGTCATCCAAACTTTCTTGTCCCTCAGAAGTCGCTGCTTTCGAATAAGTTTGGGTTTAAATAACTCAATTACGTTGGCCAGTTCAAATCACTCGATACAGCGCGATCGTTTCACTCAGCTTGTTTTTTACTGGGTTCGTCTTCTGCATTTTCAGACTAAATTTTGCCAGGTGTGTCTTCAGTCGGTTAGTCAGCAACAAACATGTCCCCATTCTCAGTCACGGTTTTTCAAACGTCCCTCTGGCCGCACGTGCGGCTGCTTTATCGAAAGATGGAGCTACGGTTATCTGCTGGCATCCTCGAGAAGACATTCCTTATGAAATGACCAAAGTAAGATGATCTTTTCATAGTCCAGCGTTTATTAGGAAATCCCAAGGAATATTGATATGACTAGAACAGCAGCCTCACCACTGAAAGTCCAGCTGCATCGCCCGAACCCAACAATTCAGGAAATCGCCAAAGCCCTACAAAAGTCCACTCGCAACTTAAAACCAAGGTAACTTGCCGCTTCTCAAATTTGTTTTCGTAGACGAAAGGAAAGAGCGTTCAACCCATACTTTTGGGAGGACCTAAACTCACGTCGACGCCTATAACGTCCCTCCGGCCATACCCCAATGCACCCACATAAACTATAGGTTGCCAAGAACGAAGAAATGTATATTTCCGTTGTGAGGGTTTGTTATCCCCGCCTTTTCAGCCAGTTTTTCTCCTTGAATCTCATCTCTGATATATTTCACATTCTTGCTTCGTACTTCCGTAAGACCTTAAAATGTCATATGAGTAAGTGAGTCTTTTTTTTACCACTCGGAATCAACAAACACAATTAAGTTATCCGCCCCAACACTGGAGGATGTTTGCTGTCGCGACGGGCCCTCTTTTCACACATCACCACCCATGTGCGCTGCGACTCCTTTCTAGAGGAGGGCCTTTATGACTACCATACCAATGACACTCCCTTCTTCCAGACGCCCTAACGACGCCTGTTTCCAATGATCCGTTCAAATTACGACCCATGTCACATGTTTGCTCGATGCCCGCATTCCGTTGTTGAAGTGCCGTTGACAAGTGACTCACCCGCGTACTAGATCGTGTTTGCTGTAAACTACCGGGTACAATAGATGATATACAACATCTGATTTTTCGGGCGAGGGGTTTGCATGAGGTCATCAGTCGACATGGGACTTTGTTTGAGACCTACGCGCGCCGCTAACTAGACGGAGTTGCAGAGACAAGTGGTGGCTTCTGAAATAATCGGTACGGTATCGTCCGCCAGATATGTTTTCACTGCTGCCCATGCAGCTGTTCTAGACCATATGAACGGCGCACACGAGTCTCCAGGGCATCCGTCTTTTGCGAAAGGACCTTGAGGTACTACAACTGCAATTTTTTCACTCATTAGTGTCCGCACACATTTGCGTTAGTGGGATTGCAGATGACTGATATTATGACTCAGAATTGCGCGAGTTTATTGCACTCCTCTGCGTCCGCCTAAGAACCGCATGGAGCTGAGATCTCCCTCGCCATCAGTTGTGATTAAGCAGCAAAATATGTCAGAAGTGGGTCCTTTCTTTGCCCTGGTCGCAACCGGAACATTTGAAGTTTGGGTAACCCTGTCGTCCATATAATTGGCGGTCCCATCCGCCATGTGCACTCTTCTGCAACGAACGTCCCCACGCACCCTGACGTCATCTTCATCAGGCGTTCTAACAGTCTTGTCTCTATTTTCGCGGCCTTTTAGATAGGAAGGTACTCTTAAAGTCCGCAGATCTGCTGTCCATCTCCACAATGACCCTTATGGTGGAATCAGAGCAGCTGGTTTTCTTGACCATCTTACAAATCTCTCTAAACTGTTATGGACCCTATCTCTGAGCCCCATAGCCCTCGCGCTTTGCGCTTTCCTGTTTGGGCGGAGTACCCGCATTACATTGGTTCTAATTCCGATTTAAGATGTGGTAACCCAAGGACGTACGCGGATTAACAACGTGGAAGCCCCCCTTAGTGAGCTTCCTCTAGTAGCCTATAGATAGCTTAGCAAACGCTGTCAGCTTGGCGACGACTCGGAAGAATTTACATGCGGACATGCATGGAATGACATTTTCCTCATAGACTCAAGCCGATTCTAACGTGTAGGAATGCAGATATTGATTCAGCCCAAATTGGCTGTGCTTACATTCAGTAACTCGCCCGTTACTCTTTGTGGGGAGTCAGATATAATATTCGATGGACGGCCTAAAACTCAGGCACAGGCGTAAGATCACAGTGTAAATTTATTTGCGTTTGCAATTCAATAATTCTGATGACGACTGACGTCAAAAATCATGTAGGATAACCTATGATATAAATTAGCAAAGTTTGTAAACTTTGTAATGCAAATATATGTACAGAGCAACTTTTTGTTCACTGTTAATTGAACCCCTCGGATGGTCTGGAAAATAGATGCTGAAGACCCAGGTGGAAACGTTGAAAAATCTCACCTCATTGGAGTGAAGAATTCAGTAAGTCATCTAAAATGGACAACGATTTACATAAAGCACGTGCATTCTGCGAAAAATTTCATCGTTAAGCATTGTGCACAAGATCGAGGTTTTTGATGGTTGAATGTGCCCGGTGAGCTTGATTGGTTGGGAGTAATCAAGGAGGCACTCCTCGCACTCACCTTCAAAAGCGACCCAAAATAATCCTTGTAGTTCTTCGGGCTTAATTTTTGGTAGGGAGAATTGGGAATAAATTAGTAGTAGTGTCAGACAAAAGTAGAGGCCAAACAACGCAACGGTTGGTGATTAACCATTGCGCTCGAATAGAACTTATAACCCGCACTGCCCATGTTGGTCAGGGGCTGGGTCCTTCCCGAGTTTATTTGTAGTGTGTAATCCCAGTGTGCGATCGGCCAAACGATTCGCTCATTCGTACAAAGCTAAAGGCAGATTGTTCCAGACAATTCTTCGAATTCCTTATGTAAAGCGGTAGGTCATTTGTTTGAGAGTCACTCAACGTGACCCTGTAGTGTAGTTTACTGCTGGGCCTAGTAAGACTAATAAAGCCTTTCAAAAATGAAGACCATAAAGGTCGCCGTATAGTATAAACGAAGTAAAACAAGGTTGGAACCAGCTTTGTCAGCAACAAGTGTGCGATGAATTTCCAATGCGCCGACAGAAGGGATAGCGGACTTAGTCAAGCCGCCAAGCCTGGACTCCCGTCAGGCTACGCGCTTCCCCCCTACCTTGATTCGATCGGTCTTCAGACGTGCGAAGCAAGTCATTGGACAGGGGAGAGCAAGGACATTCCTAGTTGGCTATTTTGTAACTGTTGTCCATGCCTTACTTGGTCGTTACTAACGTCTCACTTTGATCAGACGATGTTTTTCGAATATCAGTGATCTACAACAAGTACGTCGTTCGTGCAGTAAGTATGGTGCTATCCGGATGCTAGTTCAGGGCCATATGCCTAATTCCAAGCAGGCACCACGGCAGTAGAAAATAGGCTAGACCTAAATAAGATGTACAGGCCAATCGTACACAGGCTGTTCCCTAATCCACAAATGAATTGGGATTGATTGCATCTTCAGAATAATTTTTCCAAAAGTGGCACGGCATAACATCAGCTGTTAGGTTAGTCCCAACCAACTTGCAAACGCCACGATGACTTTCGATGGGTTCCCCGTTGACAAGCTTGCACATGAAGTCCCAGATGCCGTTGCCTAAGCTACCTTTTTATCGGCTTCCCCCTCGGTTGACCCGCCATCAGGTGTTTTGTAAATTTTATGGCACACGCAAATGATTGACGATAGCCAGAGTCGACAGTTCGTTCCTCGGGCGATTTGCCTTAATGTGGAGGAGGCGTCTGTGGATCTGGTTAGGGTATGGAACGCCCCTATATGTTGTCTGTTTGGGTCCAATCTAGAGGCAGTCCAGAAAGACAATAGTACAGTAAAAAATTCCGACGAAAATAAGAGACTGAAGAAGTACTTTGTGGCTCTTTAGCCGTTGTCGGTATTCCTCCTGCATTATAAAAAACTTTTCCACTTATGCCAGCTCTCTGGATAGATTCTAGACTGAATATCGGCAACACCCCTTCGACCCTTTAAACGCGTGACTTACTTTTGCACCTAACCGCGAGTTTCTTATACGGCACCCTTGTAATGACTGGATTGCCTCCTAGGAGCTGTAAAACATGCATTTTTTTGCTCAGGGTCTCAACCAGCTAAATGACAACCTCTTTGGACCATCGGACGCGTACTGCGGTTCATTTTAATCAGTTCATGTCCAATTTCTTCTCTTATTGGTTGACTTGAGAGACTGAATCGCCAACACCAACTTTACAGGGGATGTTTAAATGCCTTCCGACACTCACTTCCATACTTACAAGGGGGGTCGTGTACTGTTTGGCCGCCGACTGTATGAGGGTGATGTGGTTCCCTCTGGCCTTGATGCTCGGAGTCGGAGACTTTTCGTCGCGACCTGGAGTGCTTTTTTGGATTGTCTTTGACATTGGTTTTGTGGTAGCAAACGTAGCAGTAGATAAGGCCGTTGCGGACTCGCACCGCTGTCTCGTTTTGGCCATCACTCAACTGCATCCCACACCGTGCACAGACAAAACAGGCGAGATGATAGAAGAGGCTGAGTTTCTCCACAATCATCAAGTCGCTCGCGCCTAGGCATGAGAGAAGCTTTCTAATATATTCAGAAAAATTGCAGCTGTAAAGTGCCTACTGTTAAAATTAAAGTAACATCCCACGCTTTTAATAGCTACACCGTAGTACATACTGCTCAAGTGCGCCTGGAAACTGCTAGTGTGTACGTACATCGTTGTCCCTTAACGGATTCTCCTCACAGGAATCCACTGATAATCTTCGTAGCGTGGCTGGGGAAAGGAACAGAAGTGTGAGATTCCTTTAACATTTCGGAAAAAAGGAGGAGCTAGCCAAGTTGTGACGACACAGGCTGGCCTTACGGCTCGAAATTTGGCGGGCAAAGTTGCCTCCTAAAATGAGACGAGAGATGAGATCTCACTGCAGGCACTTATGCGTTGACAGTTTCCCGTACAATAATTAGTTATCGATTTGAGGCTTGACGGCTGAGCGCGATGCCTAAATAGCACTGATTCCTAGAGAAAATAACGAAGTAGAATGAGGCACTAGAAGTCGTGGGGGATTGTCACTGACTTGGAATCAACGCGAGCAGCAGAAGACTGTAAATCCCCTAAACAGAGCGAACACGGGCTTTCAAAGTAGGACAATTACGTTATTCGACCGCGTTTATTGATATGGTGGGCACCCCCCTTCATCTCACCTGTTTTTATCCTGTTATAGCTTAGGCTAGCAAAATACGGAGTCGCCTATTATTGCGCGAGGTATTCGGAAAACAGCGTCCGCACTATGACTACTTCGTAAATCCCTATATATAACGCTGAATTACAGGAAGTGACTCTGCTGATCGCTGTCCAAAACCACCACTAAGTTTTCGCTTGCACGAAGCTTTGACTCGAAGCGCCGTCTCATTCCAACAAATTTACTTACGATGAATAAACTTAGAACTAACGACTTTATGTGATGTGCATTTTAAGGAATTCAATACAACTTGACCTGGGACTCTGT